ACTGACGCAAAGAATGATTTTAGCCAATCACGCGATGCCTTGGAGGTTTCACAAGACCATCATAAATCAAATAAAATATGTCAACAGAAAATTTAAATAGAGAATTCGAACACACGCATATATATAGAGAAAGAGAGAGAAATTCCAATTTGTGTGTGGGATCGAAGAATTAAATGATATCGTTACCTCCATGAAGTGTTATCTTGGACAATTTGATTATTTCATTTATGAGCATTGGATTCAAATTTAATCAGAGGTGGGGTTCAGGTGTCGAATGAAGAGAGAGAGAGAGAGAGATGTGTCCCTGATTTTGATAACTTCAATTTGTAATTCCGGTCTTCATTTACAATAAACTGATTTAATCTGAAACTAACAAATTTTGGATACAGATAATTATTGAACGTAACTTGATATGATATAATCTATTTTACACTGTTGGGATGGCATGTCAAAGTCCATTTTAATGAATTGACTCTCCAGTTTATTATATTAACTCAACAAGGAAAAATAAGAACGTAGTCATACGTCAAGAAATTAGATATTCTCGATATCTAAAACATAGAGATTTAGAATTTATTTTCATAGATTACATTACTTTTCTTAACATAATTGAATAGTAATAAAGAAATCAAAATATTCGTGTGTAGGAAAGAAACTTAGATGCACACTTTGTTTGTTTTGTTTTCATATTATTTTGCATTCTTACTTTTTCTTATCAAATTTATTCCCAAGCATATTTTTGTTCAGATTTATTAAAATTATACACACAATATGTTTTTATAATTAAATCTCTCATAAAAATCAGGAAGGCTTGTTAAAGAAAGAAAATTTCATGTTTATGTCTTAATCTAATTTCTTTTTTCATTTCAGAGAAACTTTTATAAAAATGTTTCATTTATTTCAATGCGTTATTTTTCCTTTTTAGTTTCTTAGTTTACTTTTAATTTCAGTAAGTACTTTTACAGATTACAGTTAATCAAAAATTAACTTCGAACCAAATTAAATTTTCAACATAAAATTGTTTTATTTTTCTGTTATTATATTATTTAGTTTTTTTAACTTTATTTTAATGTTTTCCAACGTGTTCATACTTTTGCTTCTGTTTTTTTCTACATCCCATGGTTACTTCACATAGGTAAAACATGTAAAAAAATATGGAGAATATTCGCTGTGTCCATGACTTAAGGCGCATTAAATTTATAAGGATCAAAGGTTTCATTCAACTTCAAACTTTGTATGAAAGTTAGAAAATCAAGTGCCCGCTCAAACGTCATGATAGTCACTTGACGGAGGTTGAAAATTATGAGGTCCACTACGAAACTCTCTCTAGCCTATCTTCAAATTGTGACGTTAATATACACTCACTAACTCACTTATAAATATAGAATACTAATTTAAGGTGATTTTTTTTTGTATAAACATAATTTCTATACATTTATAAGACACGTTTGATATTAAATATTTATTGATTTTTTTTTCTTTTTAATCGAGCTTATATATTAAAATATATTTACTGTGAGTTTTAAAAAGAACAAAACTACATTAAAATGAAATCTATATGTATATACAAAAAGCAAATAATGCTTAAAATTCCACGTAGTATTTTTGTAATATTTTACGAATAATGATTGGAAAGAACTCTATAAAAATTATTGTATTTTACAAATACGAACTTTTATGAAAAAATCTGTTTTAAATTGGAAACTTTTTCAATCCAAAAAAATTTATTTGGAATGAATTAAAAAATTAAATTGATGAAAAGTAACGAAACACTTTAAGAAATAAGAATCGTTAAAAATGTTTTCCGCACAATAATTTCTTACGGCTTTCACAAAGATACTTACAAATAAAAGAATTTAGAAAAACTTTTTCTTTTTTTCCATTTGCATGAATCTTGAATTTTCTTTTCGCTTAAGCGACGAATATTGTTTTTCTTATTCATGCCAATGTTAAACCAGAGACAGACATCTAAAAATTGTAGTCATACAAAATGCATATTTCACTTAGCAATGTAACCGCATATTATCTAAAAAGCTTTTCAAGTAGTTATTTTTTTCTACTGTATTTGAATATGGATTTCAAATATTTTTGTCCAGACACAGATTTCTGTTTACATATAGTCTGGAACTTTTTAAGAAAAGTGATAAAAAACAATATGCATTTTTCAAAACCACTTAGTAAACATTCTCTGTCTGAAAATGCTTTGTAAATATATTTTTTCCAATGAATTCAGAAAAGGTGATGTTTTTTAGTAAAACATTTTAAAATGTATATACGTTCGAAATAATTACAATACTATAATGGTAGTGTACATTAAAATTTTACATTTTTATTTTCTTGAGACAAATTAATATTACCAAGTTAAATGCTCAAAATACAAAAAAAAATCTTATTTTCCATACTTTGTTTTTTAAAAAATTTGTTCCCTTACAACCTGCAAATAGTAATATATTTCAATTTTTCAAAAAGATTTATTATAATTAGGAGTTATTTATGTATTTTCTCTGCAAGTACTATCATATTGGTACATTGGTATACTTAGTACGCAATAACTGTAACTGAAATTCAGTATAAACGAATTAAATTTTTTGCTGCCAATATTGAATTCTTAAATTGGCGATTGCCCCATTAGATATTCTTTTATAAGATTTCATGCAAACCCTTGACCACGTGATCAAGGTCACGAGCCCCACTTGAGCTTGGATTTGAAGAAAAAAAACAATTAAATAAGTTCTGAATGGAATAATAAAAATCTTTGTAAGTTAACAGGAGTAGATAATTAAAACCTAGTGTAGTACAATTTTGAAGTTTGGATAATAAGGTACTGAAACTCAATTGTAGTCGGACCATTTTTCAAAATTAAGAGTTTCGTCACTAAGGGCCCTCACGTGTCCCTCGGGCAAATTCTCATACACCAGCCAATTAACCTCTTATCTGCGGGCGTCGCATGTCATACATTCTGCGTTTTTGTGTCTATTTTGTCGTTATCGCATTGCAGTGGCGCAAAGAAAAGTCCATCCTTGAAACTGAATTCATCACTTCTTACGCGTCTTTTTAATGTTCGAGATATTTTTGTACTTCTGAGTATTTATACGAGATGGACAACCAGTATTACTTTCTTCACAACTATCCCAATGAAATTTCCCGCCTGAAATATAATATTAATGACATCTAATACATCTCGTGTGATATCTCTGTTAAAGTTTCAAGTAGAAAACCATTCTAGATACTTCTGATATTTATCATCAAATTCTTGTGTGACAAAGTAAGTAAAAAACAATATGTAATACATGATTTCAGTTTTGTAATACACTATGATTTACAAGGATATACTGTTTTAACGTTGCAACTGTTACAATACTGTCTTAACGTTACGGTACTATTTTCCAAAATATTTTTATTACCACAGGGTACTTTTAAAAATTTCAAAGAAAGGTACATTGCAGAGAAAACTGAAAACTAGTGAATATCACATATTTTCCAAATAAAATACCAGTAAAAAATGTTTACTGATAAAAATAATTTGAATTTTTTCACTCTTTAGGATATAGTATATATTAATTTTGTGCATTAAAAAGCATGCTTTTTTGGGTCAGAAATTCGTAAAAAATTCCGACAGAGAAGGGGTTAATGGATGCAAATCTGTATCACTGTAAAATACATCTGATGTAACAAAAAAAAGTCCAAAAGGGCATAAAATATTTTATATGGCTTGTTTATTTATTTTTTCTCTTCTACTTTCTTCATTTTAATTCAAATTTTTTAAGAAACATACCATTTATTTAAGAAAACAATTTGTCTTCAAAACTATGTAAGACAAAATTAGTTCATACCTAAATGTTGGAAAAGGTTTGGAGTAAAATCCATTTTTATTTCCCTTTAAATCAAAAAGGAGAGAAAGTTTAGTATTTGCCACATGCAACTACTATTGGAAAAACTTAAAATTAATTTAAAGTAAAGATGTAAAATATGGGGGTTTTTTTCCTTTGAAATTCCACAATGCTCAATAATTGGAATGTAAAATGATTGCAACATTTTATTGTGGAACCAAATGTTGTAATGAGATTGACTTTTTTAATAAACTATAAAAAAAAAGTAATTTCATCAACATTTCAGTTTTTTGTGCACAGGGATTTTATAGATTTTAAAAAGTTGTAAACACACACACATTTTAATCAATCAGGTCAAAGTAAAAATGACAATATAGCATTCGTTTTAATTTTTACAATAGCCAAATACTTAAAATTGTATCGTAATAACAGAACAACCTCCAAAAGGGCTTTGACTCCACCTTTGTCAAATGACATCAGACTTATTTCTGACAGGCCTATTTTTTCATTTTTGGTAAACATGGAATGATTTATTGAATTGTAAATTGCAACTTTTCTTTGTGTGTGTTATATATATATATATATATATATATATATAAGCATGATTTCTTCTCAAAATAATGCCACAAAATAGGAATAAAAATACTCTTCCATTTATTATTTAAATTAAAGTTGTTTTTTATTGTTTACTATAAGCATATAATATAATACTTTATATTAAGCAAATTCGGGGCAGACACGTTGATAAAAAAAATTATTATGCTAATGTTTTTGGTGGAGAAATTTTATTTACTAACAAAACGAGGCAAAAGATATTGTAAAAGATATAATCAAAAAAAAGAAGAAGAAAAATATTGTAGGATTTAAGTTATACTATATAATAAAAAAGAATACATTGAAAATTCAAAAAACATAAAAGAATAATAAATTTTTCAAATTACAGAAAGTGATTTTCAGCATTTTACAGAATTGTTACGATTATACTAGGCCTTTCTTGCGTAGACTTGACATGAAAACCATGCTGAAAATTTCAGAATATATGCCTCAATTTACCCATACATAAAAAGGCCCTCGTAGTATAGCTGAATATGTGACGTTAATATTCACTCACACACTTCCCACACATAAAATCAAATATACTCACAAAACAAATGAGAATATCAGGGCATGTCTAGAATGGCCGAGTGGTTATGGCATCAGACTCATGCGAATCGCCGCTTCTCTCTTCAATATAAATCTCTGAGCATGTTTTCAAATTAGGTGCCTATTGTTAGTTAATTTAAAGTTGTTGTGTATAATTAATATGTTCGTATTATATTGAATATACGTATAAACCTTACCCGTGGGAGAATATCCCACGAAACTAAGCTGTGCAATATGCGGACAGAGAGAGCGCCGAATAGTAGATTTCTGATTTACATTTGGCGAGCGTGGGTTCGAATCCCACTTCTGGATAAAACTGTATTTTTTTAACAGTGAAAAACTTTTTGACAAACGTCAATAAAAAATATTGCAAAATCATAAAAGATTTTCGATTATTTGATCGAATGATTGTTAAGGTCACCGTTCGAAACTGTACAAGGATTATTAAGGAACGCCTAAAGAGACCGAGATCATTCTAAAAGATTTTAAGCACATCAGGGCCCTTTGGAAAGGTCCTCATGTCTGTGCACAACAAAGGAATGTAAAAGATTCATAGAAAATATCGTACAAGAAAAATACAGAGAAGGATAAAAATAAATTCATTCAAATTTGCTTAGTAAAAGCAAATAAGTATGCTATGGCTTGTTGTGGTGACCTAAGGCCACCCCTTACACTAATACCTTCCTGTCTATCTGAAAATCCTGCTGGATGTGTAGGCGGACTTAAGTGATCAAAAGACATAATTACAATTCAACCATATTTATTGATACTTATCAGTAATTACGTTTATACACAACACAAATCAATTTAAGACAAATAATTGAGAATGGAGTAATAAAGTGGGGAATCAATACTAGCGGATAATACAGAATCTCTCTCTCTCTCTCTCTCTCTCTCTCAACTGAATCTAGGAAAGCTTAAACGCGCACAATTACAGCTACGCCACGTGCGAATAATCTGAATTGCTTAAACAAAATCACTGACCTTATATTTTACAGCGGCTGTTCCTTCATGACGACTTCAATCCCTTTTAATGGCTGGAGGAATTGGTGAAGACTCCACGTTTAGTAATAATGAATTTCACTATTTTCAATCCGCTTCTTTTCGCGTACATCCACACGTATCCGTCTATGTAGACTTGTCAACAACTTCGTGTCGACTTCTCGATCTTTAATTCACTTGATTTCTCACTTCCTATCACTTAACTTCTCAACTCCCGAAAACCGAACTTATATAATATATCTTATTTACATAAATCACGCCCGGCTCTCGGTGAACATTGGTTGAAATAAATAAATTGCTTTAAGAAAAATAGAAGAGGTTAGTAAAAGACCGTATAGATCCGTCACATTGTTATAAATTGATAACGTAACATGAGTGGGGATTAGGTTTAGATAATTAGGTAAGGCAGTGTTAGGGTTTGACTATCAACTCTCCAAGTCCTCAGTTAGTTTATTTTTATAAGTTTAATGACATGGGAGTGAAGGGTGGGAACAACTATCTTCTTTCCATTTATAATAGCGATCTTAGTATAAAAATTCACGAAATCATTAAAATTGCAAAATTCATAATGTCATTGTTTGTTTTTTAATAAATTAAGAAACATGAATTTATTATTAGGATTTTTAAAAAGTAAAAATATTTGATGTATGCTGAAATAATATATAGAATGATAAATGATGGGGGGGGCGATAATAATGATGAAAATAATGTCTAAAATGATGTGTGTATATTAATTTTAACCCCTTAACATTCAAATAGTATTAAAATGATGGGTACTTTCTTAGAAAAGGGGGAGATTCAACGGAAAGAGTTCTTGACATCTCGATGAGATATACAAATCTATAATGGTAAATGAAATGAATGACGGATCTCATTCGCCATATATGTCAAGGAATTAATGTTATTGGCAACAGCCTGCACGATAGAAAATCCCATTGCTAAGGTCCTTGACTGAAGTGTAGTACTGTAGGGTTTTAATTTGAAAGCATACTTTATGAAAGAAATCAGATAAAAGAAGCCTATGTCGTGCCCAGTCTCTTCAATTTTTAATTCTTCTATATACATCTTCCCTTCAGTTGATGCTTGAAGTGGATTTAAATAAATAACTCTATTCAATGCTTTCACAGATCGGAATAATATAAAAATTTCAATGAAGAAAAATTAAAGTATAATGATTTTAAATTTAAATTAAGTTTCAGAACATTCAACATTGACAGAAAATTGGCTGGGAAGACCGCAAATTCAGCATTTTTAGTTCTGACTGGTGTGTAGCATTTTGGAGAAGAAGAAACGAGGAATTTAATCCCAAGAATTTAGTCGGAAAAGTGAATCATGAGGTTGAAATGTTTTTGTGTGGGGGTGTAAATCGGCTTTAGGATTAGGTAATGTGGTATTTTTTATGATATTGTGAATCATGAGCTTTATTGAAATATTTTAAATGACAATTTGAAATTAAAGTAAAACTTAACTCAGTGGCACACCAGTCCATAAAGGCCAAGGCTTACTGTACCCTTCTCAATTTTCGTGACCTTGGACTGTGAGGTGTATGAGCAGATGTTCCGGTTTGGTGGTTAGTCTAATGCGACAATTGAAAACTATCTGCCCAAAATTTGGGTATTGGAGAGAATGTCATATTTTAACAAGATAATGACCCTAAGCACACTACTAAATGCCCCAAATTCTGAAAGAACTTTCCTAAATCCCTGATTAAAGCAATGTAGAACATGTTCGGTGAAAATTTGAAGTTATGGTAAGAAAACATGATATAAAAAACAAGATGTGAATTAAAAACAATAATCACAGAAGAATGGAGGAACATGAATGCAAATATTACAAAAATTTTGAGAAAATCTACACTAATGCGCTTAAACGTTGCTGCGGAAGCTAAGCGATATCCTACTAAGAAGAAAAGTACAGTAGTTAAAACTATCCTGAGATTTTTTCTTAAGAGTACGAAGACTTTTATAACGCAATTTTTAGGAGTTTTATTTATTACAAATATTCCAAAATAATAGTTATATTATGTTTTAAAGATTGATTATGCTATTCCAATAAGAACAAGTTGCAGGTATTTAAAAAAAATTACAATTTCTGTGTATTAGTTTTATTAGTCGAAGCATTACATTTAATAGAAAATTTCAAGTACATAAGCACTTTTGAGAGCTACTATACTGTCATAATCATGTAAAAAAGCGTTTTGCATTAATCACTTCAGCAATGAACAAAGTTTTGTCAGTGCATTTCTCAATTATACTAGTACATTTCTTACGTGATGTTTCTACTATTTATATCTTTTCGCATTGCTTTTTCATTATTTTTGGCATTTAGGTGTAACTTCACTGGATTACTTCAATCTGTACAAACTTTCCTCAATTCAATTTCCTTTGAACGATATAAATCACTGTTCAGTGCAGACATTGAATTATTTATCTCCTTAGTGGAGATAAATATAATTGAAAAACTTTCCTTGCTGTTATATTAAAATGCACACAAACCTATTAAAATTGAAGAGTTCTTGTTTTCCAAAACCTCTCAGTTGTTCCAATGGTATCTTCTTTTTTAAAAAAAAATATTCTTTGTCTCTTCCCTTTGAAACGGTATTTCAAAAAGAATACGATTTATCATTGGAACAATAAGGACTGAGTTATTTTATCCCAAGACTGCAAAAGCGCACCTGCCATAAAAGGGATTTGATTGATGTCTTGGATTACGAGCAAGTTCTATGAAGTTGCACTCACGAATACAATGTATCACGGCAAGATAATAAATATAAGAGCTTCTTTTTTGAAATTTAAAAAAAGAAGTTTTAGATTCACAGCAAATACAAAAGGCAGTAAGGTTTGCCTAAAAGTATTATTTTCTTCGGTATTCTTAAAATTGACAGATTAGCTCTAAGTCACTAATGAAAAATTAAAGCCTAAGGAAATATTTTTAAAAAATTGCTTTTAGTAAAGAAATTCATTTTAATGTAGGCTGTATTTAAAATCTTTCTTCTAGAAAGAGGATCGGAGGTTTAAAAATAAAAACGTTCTATAGATAATAGCAATAATAATAATTGTGCATAAGATAATAACACACTGCTGACGGTTTTAAAATTTCAATGATATAGCATTTAACGTTAATTTAAAAACTGTAATAATGTAAAGAGTACATTTAATTTTTACAATTTTTCTGAAGAAAAATGTGTAACTTTTGTGCTGATTCTATATTCATGTTTATAACTTCCGAAAACAACACTTATGATTGACTAAAGTATTGGTGTTCATTCCTCCTACTATTAATAATTTATGTATATCTATCTATGTATCTGTGTAATCTATATTAAATTTATATTGATACATTTTTCTGAAACCCTATATGAATCAGTTATCATGATTGGTTTAAGGCTTTAACACTTATCTGTGCTATATTTTCCCTAATTTACCAATCATTATTACGATCACTTAGTACTTGAGAGAGAATTTTTTACTTTTACAGCCTGTCTTTCTTATTATCTAGTAATTATATTATGAAATCAGACAAAAAATATCATCATACAGTACTTCAAGAATATCTCTGTTCTAATACATCGTATAAAATACTAAACAAAATATTTTATTATAATTTTCATGCTTTACTTTTCTTTCATTAACTCAACCCCATTCCTAGTTGTTCTAAATTATCCGAAATGTTTGTCTGATGTTTATATGGATGCACTTTTGGAAAAAGATTAATAGATTGTTTTTTTAGAAAATTTTAAAACCCATGTTAAGAGATACATTACGCATACAGTGCTTCAGAACATAATGCAACGAAGATTTTGCAAAAAGGGCCTTTTTCAGCAAAAACCTTTGCACCAACAAATTTTTATTATTGTGATAGGGATTTAATATAATTATGTAAAAATAAAAATAAAATGTCCTTTTTTTTTTCAATTTTGCTTCGGGGTTTTTTTTTTTTTTGTCATCTTTTTTACGGAGGGGATAAATACAACATTACCCTTACTAGTACTTTATCATTTAATCATCAAATTGTTCGTAAAAAAAAAACAAAGAGCCTTTAATTTAAAGAAAAACATTTGTCTCCTGAAAAAATATCTGATTTTAATTGTTTTGGTTTTTAATGATATAGACAACTTATAGTGTTTTTATTAATTAAAGTGGGGCTTTTTTTAATTAAAAATTTTTGTATCTTAATAAGAACATGTCAGTAAATCTTTGACAAGCGTTCAGTGATTTTTTTTTTAATTTTCTAGCGACCTTCGAAAGAGCCACACATGTTGAAAAAATATCATCGTCAAAAAATGTTTTACTAAAAATAAAGTATAGGAA